TGGTGGCTGCCTACAAACTTGTTAGGGGAGATCAGCAGCAAATAGGAAGGGCACTATTCCCCCCAGCAGCACCTGGGGTGACGAGGAACAATGGCCAGAAGCTGCTGGAGAATAGATTCAGGTTAGAGATTGGAGGCACTATTTCACTGTTAGGGTGGCTAGGATCTGGAACCAACTTCCTAGAGAAGTGGTCCTCGCTCCTACCTTGGGTAAATTCAAAAATAGGTTGGACGAACACCTGTCTGGGGTTGTATGATCCCAGCGTGTGCTCTTACCACTGGCGGGGGGTCAAACTAGATGATCTGTTCAGGTCCCTTCTGACCCCAAACTACTATGAAACTATGAAGTATAAAAGGGTTTTCTTCTTTACCTGCTAGATAAGCCACGCTCTGGGTATTCACTTCGAACTTGTCACAGTTCCTGTGTTTGTTAACCAGAGAGAGTAGTGTGTGTAAAATCCTTACTGTCCTTGCTACAATCATAGGAGAAGGATGTCTGTATCCTAACAAAACCATTTTAAGAAGAAACCAAATATTAACCATTTAATGGGTAATGCCTATTATTTATAAAGCTTTTATAAGTATGTCATATACACAGGAAACAATCACTAGACTAGCAGAAATCATGCATTCAATTAAAAAAAAAAAATCAAAGCGTGCCCACATAACTAAATATTTATTTAAATTCCTCTAACATGGTAACTACCTGCCAGAAAGAAAAGAAGCCTGAAATAGAGTCTAAATAAAAATGAAAAAGATGTTTTTAACAGGAAGTAGCACAAAAGAGAACAAACAAACAAAGCGACATATCCGGTCATGTTTCTAGACTGTACTATTATAAATCAACTTTGTATTATTTATCCTAAAGCACTTTGGTAACTGGCTTTCACACTTCTGCAAAGCTTCCTTTAGTTGATGCACATTCAATTTTGCATCTGTTTTGTGATTCAAGCATTTGGGAAAAATTGCTTCCAAGTAACACTATAATATTTGTTTATAAGCTTGAACTCTGCTTTCTCTCTAGAACATTTCACACCAGGCAAGGTGAAGAAGTCCTTTTATATTGACAGGAATGAGAGCCATTTGCAAAAAAAATTAACGGAGCCAGAATTTCACCTTTATTCTTAGATTTATTTTTAAGTGAACTTAGACTGTGACATGCAATGTACAAGTTTTCTATTCCTACCTTTTAGAAGGTGCCCCACTAGTGCAAAGTTAAAGTTAGAGTTGAAATTGAGTCCTACAAAATGATCCATCTGTTTGCAGTGCCATTCCAACGGTCTCCTGATTTCCATGAACACTTCTTCCGGACTCTGTTAAGAAAAAAATAGTGCACAAAAGCACTCAATTGCAGATTACTCATACTACTAAACTCTTGGCAAAAATATAGAAACCATAATAGGAAAAAAAAAAAAAAAAAGCTTCCATGTGAACACACAAATGATACCTTTACTGTAAGACTAACATTTCTGTGCCAGTCTAGAGAGATTCTCAGCAATACTATGTTTCACCTTTAAGTTGGGAGTTTTTTTTTCTTCTTCTGGAGGTCAGAAAGCACACAGCTGCAGCAAATCCTATCTCCAAGTCAAAGAGTAGCTGAATTATTTAAGCAACAAGGGGAAAAGAAAGCAAAATGTATTTTATCTTAAATGAATATCTTTTTACCCCAAAGTGACACTTGAGGACAAATGTAAACCAACATTAATGGGAGGATTCTTATTACAGGCAGGTTTGCATAGATGTTGGGAATTGATTTCCTGCAAGTCAGAGTACT